TCTTTCTCCCGAGGAGCAGCTGGTAGTTTCGAACTGCTGACCTTGCGGTTTGCAGCCCGATTCGTAATCACTACGCTACCAGAGCTCCTTCATTGCACTACTAGGGCGCCTTAAAACCCAAAACCAAACCCACTGTCGCTGAGTTTCCTATGACTCATGGTTACAATATAGGGCAGACAGTTCATCTTTATGGGAGCAAACAGTCTTCTCTTTCTCCCAGGGGGCTGTTCAAACCACCAACCTTAGGGTTAGCAACCAAGCCCTTAACCACTGCACCCACCACCAGGGTTTCTTAAACACATCATGAAAGTGACAGACTGGTAATCAGAACATGTCGATGGCCCCCGCACCCCAGCACCGACTGTGGTACTGCCATGCGACCTCCGGCTAGTCCACGGCTCTTACCGAGCGTTGTGAGGAGCAGGCCCACCACTTGTGGTTCTGCAACCAGCACAGGACCGATGCGCGGATGGATGGCCATGTTGGCAAGCACACGGGTCAGCTTGATGAGAATGTCCTCTACGCCTGAAGGCTGTCTCTGTGGCTTGGCCTGCACCTCTCCACCGTCCGCCCACTTCGTTGAATTCACATCAAGTTCATAGAACGCTTGGAATAGCGACAACAGAGTTTGGATGCTCCCCTTCTGCTTGAAGAACTGTTCACGAGCTTGGTTATTTTTCGCTGTCAGGTTGCCAAGAATAAAGACAATACGAATGACTAAGTCCTGTGATAAATTAAAGACAGAGGTATAAGTGCAAACGGGCTGGAATAAGTTGTTGGAAAGAGGACACTGTTTCAGTTGCTTGGCAATTTAATTAATAGTCCAATGGAACACGTCTGGCTTCCTTTAACTAGGCCTGAATTTGATTCCCAAGGCTGGTGCAAATTGACAGGGGAGATTAAAAATCCTTGATGGCAACAAACTGATTGATGTGATTAGCAAGGTCTACTGACTTCAGACAATTCTGGCTGACCTTTTTTTTTTTTTTTTTTTCTTTCTCTCTCTTTTTCTTTCAGAAAACAATTAGTTTAGTGGGATAACATTAATAATGTGTTACATAAGTCTGTACTATGATTTTAATAGCAATCAATTTTTAAGCATTCAAATTCTTTCCTAAAAGTCCAGCTGTTGCACTGTGTTTCTTAAAATCAGGCGTTTCGTGCATACTGGCTAATACTGGATGACACTGGGGTTTCCTGGCCTCTGTATTATTCTCATGTTGGGCTGCATGGAGAATTCTTTGCTGGGGTTTTGGTGGGGGGGCGTGTGGAGGCTGTCCTCTACACTGTGTGTTTAGCAGCAGGCTCTTCTCACCAGATGCCAATTGTGTCAGACGAGTCAATTCTGACCCACAGCAACCCTATAAGGCAGAAAAGAATTGCTCCCTACGGTTTCTGAGGCTGCAAATCTTTATAGCAGCAGACTGCCTCAGCTTTCTCCCAAAGAGCAACTGGTGGATTTGAACTGGTAACCTTGTGGTTAGCAGTCCAACACTGAACCCACTACACCACCAGACATTGCTGAATGTCCTCTGAAGGGCAAAACTGCCCCAATTGCAAACCACTGTTGCATACGCACCCCACTGTATAGCAGCCCCAGCCTTACCTGACTGGGGTAGTGGCTACATGGGCGACAACTTTGTATTTTTTTGTTACATTGTATATATATGTTTTATGTTAAATTGTATATAAATGTTTTGTGTACTTCTCTATTGTTGTTAAGTGCTGTTGAGTCGGTTCCAACCCATAGCAACCTTGTATAGGACTTCTGAGTAGCTGCTGGTAAGCTTGAACCACCAACTTGGTGTTCCAACCTACTTTGAATTTCAGTGAATTAACCCACAACGCCACATTAGGACTGCACTTCTCTATTGTTGTTGTTGTTAAGTGCCATCGAGTCGGTTCCGACTCATAGCGACTCTGTATAGGATTTCCAAGGAATAGCTGGTGAGCTTGAACCGCCAACCTTGTGGTTCAAACTGACTTTGCAGTCCAGTGTATTAACCCGCAGAGCCACGCCAGGACTCCAGCACTTCTCAATAGACAGGCTATATTTAATAATACTTAAAAAAAAAAACAAAAAAAACCTTAAATTGAGAACATTTAAAAATTAAACTAGATACAGAAATTATGTTCTCAAATTCACGACAGGCATATGGGTAAGGAGGCCACGTGGGAGGGCTACAACTGGCTTGGGTGTATAATAGGTACATCTTCATTTCTTGAGAGAGAATAATCATTCACGAACTCTCCACCAGATCAGTACTGATTGTGCCAGACACTGTGCTATTTCACAGATAGGAAGCTTCTCCCCAACACCCCCCCTCACTCTTGGCAGCTGCTCTTGGCTGTCGGGTACCTGAGAAGACAGTAGCCACCAAGAAGACAAAAGTTATTGGAATTGATCAACTCTAAGTTCTAACTCCTGGTGTGGCATTGTAGGATAAGCACTGGACTGCTAACCACAAGGTCAATGGCTCAAACCATCAGCTGCTCTCCAAAAGCCTGACAGAAGGTCATTATGAGTCAGAACCAACTCGATGGTACTTAACATCAAGATTCCAACTCATGAAAAGTACTTGCTAGGGTGCACACAGACTGAAGATGTCCAGGCAGGACGAAGTGAAACTGGCCATCCTTACTAACCACTCACTGCCCACTCAGCCTTGAAGAAATCTGAATTATAGACTATGCTGTAGGCCCAACCTGGTGTCCATCACTACACTGAAAATAATATTGAATTGGACACAGAGAGCAAACTGGCTACCATTGGTCCAAGTGGATTCAGACACAACTAGAAGCATGCTTAACAAACCAGTAAAAAGAAATCATGCCACTGTTTTTAATAAAACCGGTCAGAACTTGCTTGGGAAAGAAAAGAAAAGACTGCTCAGGTGACATATGACTTTGGGATTTGAACTCCAGATTACCCAGATTCCTGAAATCCTTCCATGTCCCTGCCCTGCCTCCCAGCGAGGGTGTTGTTTAACTTATCTCTACTTTGGGCTGGCCCTCTTTCCAAAACAGTTAAAGACTTATCTCCTGAAGGTCTCTTTTAAAATGAAATCTGTCATCAGGGAGAGATTACCATAAACCTGGTTTTGTTCATCAGATTAGTGGATATTAGTAGCCTTAAGGAAAGGGAATAAAGGACACATTTTAATCACCAGAGGGGTTCTGGAAGCTTGGGAGCAATAGGGGCTGCTCCAGGAGCCAGGTCCAGTGGTATCCCAAGGGGAGGTGAGACAGCACAGGGTACAGGGGGTGGCAAAGACTCAGGAAGGATTGAGGAAAAATGACAACTTTTGAATGTGCCTAGGGAGGACACTCAGACTCTTGGTGTGGCACTATAGGATCAGCACTGGACTGCAAACCACAAGGTTGGCAGTTCAAACTCACCAACTGCTCCTAGGAAATCCTACACACAGTTGCTATGAGTCAGAACCAACCCACGGTACCTAACATCAACAGGGAGGGCTCACAGCCACCACCACTCAGTCATTAAGAAGCTCAGGTGGGACAGCAGCTAAGAGCTCAGCAGTTAACTGAAAGGTCAGTTCAAACCCACCAGCAGCTCCACTGGAGACAGGTGTAGCAGTCTGCTTCTGTAAAAGTATAGAGTCTTGGGAACCCTATGGGGTCATTGTACAGCTGTACTGCAGGGTCACTATGAGTCAGAATCAACTCAATAGCAATAGATTTTCGGCTGGCACAATGGTTAAGTGCTTGGTTGCTCCCCCAAAAAAAGCTCCGTAGTTTGAACCCACTAGTGGCTCTGTGGGAGAAAAGGCCTGGCGATCTACCTGCTTGACTGCTGTTGAAGTTGTTGTTGTTGTTGTTGTCAAGTGCTGTCAAGTTGGTTCTGACTCATAGCAACTCAGTTTTGTTCTGACTCAGAGTAACCCATAGGGTTTCTGAGGAGCGGCTGGTGAGTTTGAATCATCAACTTTGTGGCTCAAACCAACCTTGGGGTCCAGTGCTTTACCCCACAGCAGAAGTTGTTGTAGTTGTTAAGTGCCTTCAAGTCAGTTCCAACTCATAGAGACCCAGTATAGATGAATTTGAGCTGCTGACCTTGTGGTTTAAACTGACCTTGCAGTCCTGTGCTTATCCTACAGTGCTACATCTCTCAAGTCAGTTCTGCTGACACTGCGCAGAAGATAACACTGCCCACCCTGCACCATCCTCATAACCTCTGCTGTTCGAGCCCACTGTTGCACAATCCCTGGGCCAATCCCACTCATTGAGGGTCTTCCTTTTTTTTTTTTTTTTTTACTGACCCTCTACTTTACCAAAAAGGAGCTGTAGTAGCGTAGTGATTACAAATCGGGCTGCTAACCTCAAGGTCTACAGTTCGAAACTACCAGCCATTCCGCGGGAGAAAGATGAGGCTTTCTGCTTCCGTAAAGATTTACAGCCTTGGAAATCCTGTACAGGGTCACTATGAGTTGGAACCGACTCCACGGCACATAACAACAACAACAAACTTTACCAAGCATGATTTCTTTCTTCAAGTACTGGTCCCTCCTAATAACATGATAAAGTATGTGAGATGAAGTCTTGCCATCATTGTGTCTAAGGAGCACTCTGGTTGTAATTCCTCCAAGACAGATTTGTTTATTCTTCTGGCAGTTCATGAAATAGTCAATAGTCTTTGCCTACAATTCAAACGTCTCAATTCTTCTGTGGTCTTCCTTTGTCACTGGTCAGTTCTCATGTGCATACGAGGCAACTGGAAATATCTAGGCTTGGGTCAGGTGCAATTTGATCTTCAAAGTGACATCTTTGCTTTTTAACACTTGAAAGAGGTTCGTTCCTAGTAGATTTGTCCAATACAATATGGTCTTTGATTTTCTTGACTGCTGCTTCCATGGTAAATCCAAGTAAAATGAAATCTTTGACAATATCTACTTTTTTCTCTGTTTATCATGATATTGCTTAAGGTCAAATGTTTGAAGATTTTTGCTTTCTTTCTGTTCAGGTGTAGACTGCAGTCATCCATCTTCATGAGTAAGTCCTTCCAGTTTTCTTCACCTTCAAGGTGGCTATGTCATCTGTTAATGAGTCTTCCTCCAGTCTTGATGCCATGTTCTTCTTACGGTCCATTTTATAGCCTTCGTTTAGTCCAGCTTCTCAGGCGATGTCCTCAGTATACCGAATGAATCAATGAGGTGAAAGGATACAGCCAACACACACCTTTCCTGGTTTGAAACAACGCAGCATCCCCTAAAGATGGCTTTTGTTGTCGAGTGCCTTCAAGTCAATTCAGACTCACAGAGACCCTGTCTAGGGTTTCTGAGGAAACCCTATGGGGGCAGCTCTGCTTTGTCACATAGGGTTGGTAGCTATGAATTGGAATAAATTCCATGGCACACAAGCAACACCAGTATCAACTTGTTCCTGTTCCCTTTTGAGGGGGGAAAAGGTGTTCCCTGGAAAGGCTGCTGCTTGTACAGCTGGGAATCTTTTGGCAATGTTAAGATAGGACAGAGCCTAACACTGTGGCAAGAACTGGAGCTGGTCCCAGGAAAGTCCACAGTCAGAAACATCTGAACTCACAGGATTCAAGCAATCCTAGAAGCTGTTGCATCAGCAGAGTCTGACCCCAGCTCCAACCTAGGACCCAAAGAGGTACACATACACACAAACAAGTATGAGATATGGTGCCTGCTCCTTAGAGAAGTCCTGGTGTGGCACTGTGGGTTAATGTGCCAGACTGCAAAG